TTATTTTGTTCAAAATTCCATTGGTATTTTTATAGGTATTTCATTAAATGTTGAAATTGTTTTGGGCAGTATGGACATTTTAACAATGTTAATTTTTCCTATTCATGAGCACAGTGTATCCTTTTATTTATTTGTACCTTCTTTAATGTCTTACAGTTTTCTGAATATCAGTCTTTTACTTCCTTGGATAATTTATTCCTAGGTATTTTATTCTTTTGATGCAATTGGAAATGGAATTTTTTTAAATATATATTTTATTGATTTTACACAGAGAGGAATTGAGAGGGATAGAGAGTTAGAAACATCGATGAGAGAAACATCGACCAGCTGCCCCTTGCACACCCCCCACCGGGGATGTGCCCACAACCAAGGTACATGCCCTTGACCGGAATCGAACCCGGGACCTTTCAGTCCGCAGGCCGACGCTCTATCCACTGAGCCAAACCGGTATCAGCTGGAAATGGAATTTTCTTAATTTCTCTTTCTGGCAGTTATTCATATATAAAAATTCAACTGATTGCTGAATATTAATTTTGTATTCTGTTACTTTATTGAATTCACTTATTAGTCTAGTTGTTTTTGTGAATTATTTAGGGTTCTCCAAATATACTATCATGTCATGTGCAAATAATAAGGTTTACTTCTTCCTTTCCAGTTGGGATGCATTTTATTTCTTTTTCTTTTTTTCTTATCTGATTGCTGTGGCTAGAACTTCCAAAAGTATGTTAAATAAAAGTAGTGAAAGGGGACATCCTTGTCTTGTTTCTGATCTTAAAGAAAAAGCTTTCAGTTTGAGCAACCCTTCTCTACCAATAGCCTTGCTAAGAGAGGTAATATCACTCATGCAATATATTATTTATGGAATTGTGTTCCTTTTCTTTTTGTATGTTATCGTTCTGTTGGGATAAGGCCTTTGAGCACAAAGGAAGTGAAAAAACTGCACAGAGAGTTTTAAACTACTGTCTGTGGTCATTGCATCCCTGGAATGCTGGTCTTCCTTATCTACATGGTGGGAATGGCCTGGCTGAGAGTGCTTGGTTTCTCTGGGGTGCTGTGTTTAAGTTCTATAACATATAGTCAGTTTGTTAAGTCATCAAAGTCATTCAGATCAACAGGACAGTCAGTGTGGAGCAGATCAGCATTACAGTATATCATTCCTTCAAATGCTTTCCCAGGAAAAATATGTGGCTGTGTCCATCTGCTATACAAATAGGTTCTATATGACCTATCACCTTTTCATTGTGGCATGTGTGGGAGTTGGTGCCACTGTCATCTCCCTGGTCTCCTTCCTCACGACACTGTCTTCTAACAGGGCTTTCTTTCTTTCTTTCTTTTTAAAAAATATTTTATTGATTTTATACAGAGAGGAAGGGAGAGAGATAGAGTTAGAAACATCGGTAAGAGAGAAACATTGATCAGCTGCCTCTTGCACACCCCCCACTGGGGATGTGCCCGCAACATGTGTCCTTGACTGGAATTGAACTGGGGACCCTTCAGTCTGCAGGCTGATGCTCTATCCACTGAGCCAAACCGGTTTTGGCCTACCAGGGCTTTCTTAGAAAAATGCAGGTTTACAGGATATCAAAGCAAAGGAAGAACAGGAACTGCAAGATATTCAGTCATGGTCAAAAAAACAACTCAATTTTTATACACAAATGTTTGCCAGAAAGTTTCAGCCAACAAATTTATAGCTCTGACAGACAGCTGCCTGGCAGTACTGATGTGTATTCCACCAAACATACTAATGTAGAAGTACAAACACTTCATTGTCTCAAGCTGCTGGGAGATAAATCGTTTTCCTTAGCACAGACATTGAAAGTTTCATATAAGCTATTTTAAAAGGCAACACTTTGAAATAATGATTATTCATCCTTTTTAAATTTGTGGCATGTTTGCATTTATTGCTAGAACAGTGCTACCAACACAGGCAATCAGAATATGGCATATTCCTTGATATGAATCTGTGATGTACCAGTATCATGGAATGTGACCATAAACTCACGTATGCCATCTATCTTCAAATAAATGTATTTAAACAGAGAATAACATTAAATTGGTGTGAAATTCCATTTCAGACAGCTGACATTTATTAAAGTGTGGTTCATCAAAGACAATCTGATACTTACCATTAACCTCTTTAAAAAATTAGCTGACTGACCCCCCTAATTTTCTGACCCAAGCAGAAATCTGCATTTTTTTTCAATAATGCTAAAATGAGCCACTATAATCTTGCTACACATACCACTGAAGAAGCTGGATTTCTTACTCAAAATCAATTTTACTTTAATAAAATGACTTACTTGTCATTATTCTTCTTAAGAAATGGCAGCTCTGCATTAATGAGTATTTGCTTTAAATTTCTAAGAATTTATATTATAATAAAAAAAAAAACCTTCATAGAATAAACAAAATGAAAAGAAAACCTACTGAATGGGAGAACATATTTACCAATGCTACATCTGATAAGGGGTAAATATCCAAAATTCATAAAGCATTCAGACAACTTAGCACCAGAAAAAGAAACAATACAATTAAAAACTAGGCAAAAGTTTGCATAGACACTTTTCCAAAGAAGATATACAGATGATCAATAGATATGAAAATTCCTCAACTTCACTAATTGACAGAAAAATGAAAATTAAGACCTCAATTATATACTTCATTGGCTATCATCAATAAATCAACAAATAACAAGTATAGGCAAGGATGTGGAGAAAAGGGAACCCTAATGCACTATTGGTAAGAATGCAAATTGGTGCAGCCACTATAGAAAACAAGTATGGAGGTTACTCATAAAATTAAAAATGGAATTGCCTTATGTCCCAGTGATTCCATCTCTGAATATATATCTGAAGAAATTCAAAACACTAATACAAAAGAATATGCACACCCCTATGCTCATTGAAGTATTTGCAACAGTGAAGCCAATATGATATTATATATATATGCAATAAAAGTATTATATATTACATATTTACATATTATACATTAACTATATATTATATATTATTATATATTATATGTTATATAATATATTATATATACAATGGAAGTATTATATATTATATATTACATGTTATATAGTATATGGTATATAGCATATAGTATATAGTATAATTACATATTATACCATATATTATATAATATAATAAATATGCAATAGAAGTATTATATATTATATGTTACATATTATAATATATTATATATCATATATTATATATTATGTATCATATATCATATATTATATATTTTATATTATTTATTATAATTACATATATTATATATTATTATATATTATATATTATAATTAATTATATATCATATATCACATATCATATATCATATATTATATATTATACATTATACATTATATACTACATATTAAAATTATATATTTATATTATATTATATATTATATGTATGCAATAGAGGTATATATTATATATATTATTCTATTGATATATTATATATCATAATTATATATTATATAATATGTAATATTATAATTATATATTATATACTCTATATTATATTATATATTATATATGCAATAGAGGTATTATATTTTATTATGTCATATATTACATATTATAATTATATATTATATATTATATATTATATATTATATTATATATTATATATATGCAATAGAAGTATTATATGTTATATGTTATATATTGTATATTATATGTTATATATCATAATTATATATTATGTATTATAATTATTTATTATATATTATAGATTATATTATATTATATATTATATATGCAATAGAAGAATTATATATTATATATTATTATACAATATATCTTAATTATACATTATATATTATTTATTATATATGCAATAAAAGTTTTCTATATATTAATTATATTATATATTATATATTATGTATTATATATTATATATTATATTATATATTATATTATATATGTAATAGAAGTATATATTATATATTATATACATATATATGCAATAGATTACTCAGCTATTTAAAAAAATGAATTCTGACCATTTGTAACAATATGAATGGACTTAGAGGGTTTTATTCTACGTGAAATAGGTCAGAAAAAGACAAATGCAATATGATTGCACTTATATGTTGAATCTAAAGAACAATATATGGTGGGGGCAAGCTAGAAGAGGTCATTGGGGGGAAAAGGGGAACATATGTAATACTTTCAACAATAAAGATTAAAACATAAAGAACAATATGAATGAACAAACAAAACAGAAACAGACTCATAGATGCCGAGAACAGACTGACAGATGTCCGAGGAGAAGGGGTTGAGGGGCTGGGTGAAAAGGGTGAAGGGATTAGCCAGTTTAAATGGGCAGTTACGGAACAGTTACAGACATATACATTGTAGCATTGGGAATATCATCAATCATACCGTGATACCTATAAACGAACGGGGCCAGATGGGTACTTGAAGCATTGGGCGAAACCACTCTATAAAGCACACGGTTTTCTAAGTACTTTGCCGGACATCTGAAACTAACACGGAACAGTATTGAATTAAATAGTAATTTTTAAAAAAAAAAGAAGAAGAAAAGAAATGCTTATAAACGGAGGGGCGGGGTTCCCCTCCTTTCACAACTCCACAGCTCCTCCCAGCTCCTGGCAGCTTCCCCCTCCCACCCCCACTCCTCCCCACCCCCCCACCCCCGCCCACGAGGGACACTGGGAAACCGGGTGTGCTGGCCCTTTATTTCCGCCATTTTGGATTCTACTGGTATTCGACGCCTCCGCCGCCGCCGCTGCCGCTGCCGCTGCCGCTGCCGCTGCTGCCGCCGCCGCCGCGGAGGACTAGCCGTTCTTGCCATCCCTGCAGTTCCTGTCAATCCGGTCTTCCCTGCCCATCTCAAGGTACCCACATAAAGTGACTGACCCCCCACCGCCCCGTCCACCTCCGGCCCGTAGCCACCGCCCGTGTCCGTATCCATCACCTGTGCCCTGTGTCCACTTCCGGTCAGGCCCCAGCCGCCTGCTAGCCATGAGCCGGGCCAGTGCCAAAGGAGGGGCCAAGCGCCGAAAGAACAAGCGGGGTGGCGGAGGCGGGGACCACAGGGCCATAAGCAGTGTCGTGATGGACACCCCCCCAGCCGCCGCCGGCATCGGGGTGCCGGGCGCTACAATGGCGGCCACCAGGCCACCGCATGCGGGTGAAGGTGTGGGCATAGCAGCTTCCGGTGGCGGCTACTTGGAGACGTCTTTTAACTTTGGGGAGCCTCGAAGAAGTCCAGTCTCCCCCACTGTTGATTACTGTGTTCTGTGCCGAAGCGAGCGGAAAGATACTTCTTCTCTAGAGAGTGGGATTGAGGCTGCGAGAAAATTGGGGCTGTTCCTGGCTCCTGTGGGCAGCATTGTGCCATACCATACTCTGTGGGTGTGTCTGCACTGCCAGTGGACATTAGAGAAGATGAGGATTTATGGTAGCTTAGATCAGTCAGCGCCGGGCCAAGACGTCCCTGGCCAGGGCCCTCTTAGTGAGTCCCAGGAAGAGGCAGCGGGCGGGAGGTTGCCCCGACCCTCAGAGATCCCACGTTCCATTGAGATCTGCAAGGAGCCCAGAGCAGTCTCCCCAGAGGCAGACCCCGAGTCGCAGCAGCTGCAGAACTACTGGGCTGAAGTGCGTTACCTAGTCCGCTGTATATACCGCCATGCAGGGACCCCAGGGGTGCCCAACAGGGAGTGGGTGAAGGAACTTGTGGACAGACTCTGTAAGTCAGACCCCTCCCAGCTATACCAGAGGTTAGATCAGCAAGCCCGAGATTACCTGCTAGAGATGAAGATCAACCTCTTGCAGCGGCTGTCAGCCTCCTCCAGAGCGCCATCCTGCTTGCAGAATCCTCTGCAGGCCTACCAGTTCATCTCCCTGCTCCTTAAGGAGTATGGCATCTTCTGTCAGGCAGCACGCACCATCAGCTCTTTCCTAGTCACTCTAGAAAATAAACACTTGAATGTGTTCCAGGTCACATGGGAGCTGCATAATAAACACCTGTTTGAAAATCTGATTTTTTCTGAGCCTCTTCTCCAGTGCAACTTGCCAGCACTGGTGTCACAAATCAGGGTGGGGACTAGAATACAAGACCCCTGCAGCAGTGAATTATACATCACCTTGCTGCAACAGTTCCAGCACTTGAACGAGGAGATGCACAGTGTTGCCAAGGAGTGGTTGGACTGCCAGAAGAGGGTCAGTGTCTACATCAAGGAGAAGGTAAGAATGCAATCCAAGCTAGCAAAAGACTTTAAGCATTTTAAACAGGGGCAATTCCATGAAAAGCAGATAACCGGTAGGAGAGTAGGCACTGTTGAGACCTTGAGCGATGCCATGAGGCATGTGCTGTCACCACCTGATCGCCGCTATGACCCGAGCCACTCACACATCCTCATTAGTAGCCTCATGGACCCTCCCACCCCCAGCAGCACCCGTGTCTGCCAGCCACCACACCAAATGGGTTCTTCTGCTCCTGACCGTCACTCTGAGAGTCACCTGTCCAGCACGTCATTACCAAGCTTGGGGTCAGGTTCCGGCTCTCCCATTCCAGTCCTGCAGCATCCCAGACGCATCCCCACAGACATATCTACACCACCTGTTTGCAGTGATGATGATGATGTGGCTTCATTGTCAGCTAGACTTGCTAATATTTGTCCATTGGGTAGCAACAGTGCTGAGGAAGGGAACAAGAGGTCTGATGCCCAGGGAGAACCTGGTGGCCTCTTCCTCAGCAGCTCCATCCTGGCTGTGCCAGCCTGTTACAGCCCCCACTACGAAGGGCAAGGTAGCAAGAAAGATGGCCATGACCCACAGAAGGAAGGCAGGGAAAAGAGTGCAGATAAAGACAACTGCTCTGAGCACAGCTCCAACTCAAGCAACAGCAGCTGTGCCTGCACCTGCACCTATGCTGGCCAGAAGGAGGGCAAGTACTGTGACTACTGCTGCGAATTCTTCAGGCACAACTGGCCTTCAGCTGCACCAAAAGGCAGAAATTACGAAGGCATGAGGGAAAAGCTTCGTTTCCGGCTGGCGAAGAGAAAAGAAGAGCAATCTAAGAAAACAGATCAGCTCTCAGAACAGGAAAGTGTGGGGGTGGATCATCGCACAGTGGAGGACTTGCTGCAGTTCATAAACAGTTCAGATACCAAGCCTGCGAGCAGCACACGGGCAGCCAAGCGGGCAAGACATAAGCAAAAAAAACTGGAGGAGAAGACTCGCCTTGAAGCAGAGGCCAAGGCCCGGGAACAAGAACACCTCCAAGAGGAGCAGAGGCGACAGGAGCAGAAACAACAGGAGCAGAAACAACAGGAAGAGATGAAGGAGCAGCTCCAAGCTGTGAGAAAGAAGGAAAAACAAAAAAGAGACTCTCCCAAGTTGGACATGCCTCATGGAAATTCCAGGGCAGCAATAAAGCATGTGTCTTCCTCTGCACACATACACAGTGGTTCCCTCGAGCAAACTGAAGAATCTCATTCACCTTCCAGACACGCAGTCTGCCCAGGGTCCGGGGCTCGCGGGGATTCCAAGTTCGTCCTGACAAAGGAGGAACCCTTCTCTTTTCTCCTGGACACAACACGTCACCACAAGGAGGGGACTGGCAAACAAAAGCCAAAACAGGCATGGAAGGCCAGCAGTGAGCCATGGAGGAGGCCTGCAGAGTTCTCCAGCGCCTCAGAGGTCCAGCCCAGATCCCAGACCCAGGCTGAGCCAAAGGCTAAAGTGCTTGATCTTCCTTCGATGTCAGAGCAGCAGAGAAAGGAGAGAAACGTCAGCAGAAGCAGTAACAAGAAACAGCTGGACCAGGCCAAATCAGGAAAGGCAAGCTCAGGCCCCACTGAGCCCACCTGCCCTACTAAGCAGGTGCCCCGCAGCAAGCTGGTGTTGGCAGACACCCCTCAGCCCAAGGGCAAGAGCAAGAAAAACAGGAAGAAAAAGGGAGGTGGAGATGGAGATGGAGATGGAGATGGAGATGCCAGACCCAGCTGGTTCGAAGAGGTCTTTATGCCTAAAGACATCGACCTAGACGATGAGGAGATGGATGAGACAGAGAGGGAAGTGGAGTATTTCAAAAGATTCTGCTTGGATTCCACCAGACAAACCCGACAAAAACTGTCCATAGACTGGTCTGATTTTAGCTTTAAAAAACGACCTTTTCTGCCCCCTAAGTGAGGACCACCTGGAGAAGGACATGTGACATTGACCAGGCCCCAAGGCTGCTGGGTGAGCCACCAGACTTGCAACATCCATGCTGTTAGCATGTAGTCTGTGAGACTTTGATCATAGCTCTATGCCACCACTTCTTCCAGCACCTTACTCTTGAAAGCCTGGGCCTTGGCCAGAAACTTTACATCATTCAAATGGCTCTGTCACCTCTGCATCTTGCCCTGTCACGTCACATGTCCCTGCCCGACATTTCCATCACTCAGCTCCCGACTCACCCGAGATGAGCAGATGGGGCAGGTATTCTCTGGTATCTACAATATACTTTTAAGAGTGTATATGTTGCACTGAGCTCCTTTGTCTGAGCTCCTGATTTAAAGATAGCCTGTAGAATGAGAACGTTCAAAAACAAAACCCACACAGTACTCACACCATCAAGTCTGCTAGCAAGTATAGAGCTGTACTAACACCAATGTTACTTGCTAAGTGGTGTATCCAAGGTTTAAAGTTTTGTTCTGGGTTTTGTTAGAAATAGGATAGGACCAGGTTCTGTAGTTATAGTCTGAATAGTGAGTTTACATATAGTTTTATACCAGTTATCTAAAATCTGATTGCAAATAGACCACTAGTCTACTTTTATGGGCTTGAATAGTTAAGTAATTTAAGTTAGGGTTAGTATTTATGTCATTATTTAATCTAAATCTTAGTTTCCTAGAATAATAAAGTTTGATATTCAGCAAAAAAACATAAAATGCATGATTTTAAAAACATGATTTTATTCATTTTAGAGAGTAAGGAAAAGGAGAGGGTTAGAAAGGCAGAAACATCAAAAAGAAAGAAATATTAACAGGCTGCCTTCTGCAGGCCCCCTACTGGGGATCAAGCCCAAATTCGGGGCATGCACCCTGACAGGGCCTTGATTTTAAGCTATTTTCAAAAAAACTTGCATTCTCAATCTCAATATTCCAGAACATTAAGTGACTATATAGATATTGGATATTTTGTTGTTCTTTATGAAATGATACATGTGAACATTGGAGACATCAGTTTTTTTATAAAGGAAAATGCATAATATATAGTTAACTATGTATATTCATACTAAGAATATACATGGTTTGGCTGTTTCCTGATTTATAAAGCATATACATGTGCAGAAATGCATTAAAACAAAAGGAAGCATGCCTTTATCAAGAGGCTATTAAGATTAAACAGCAAATACAATATTTCATCTGGATATATTTTTATTATTATTAATGACACCTAAAAGGACCTATTTGGATTTTGACTAGATGCTTACTTGTTTTTAGTATTTGTGTTTTGTTTTGTTTTGGTTTTGGTAGTGGAGTTTTTTGTTTGTTTAAGCATGGTTTAGTAATATTTTAGAGAGAAAGGAATACAGGAGGTACAAAAAGAAACATATATATGACAATGTAACATCGATTGGTTGCCCCCTGCCAGGGATCAAGCCTTGCATTCTCAATCTCAGTATTCCAGAACATTAAGTGACTATATAGATATTGGATATTTTGTTCTTTATGAAATGATACTTGTGAACGTTGGAGACATTAGTTTTTTTATAAAGGAGAATGCATAATATATAGTTAACTATATTCATTCTAAAAGTATACATGGTTTGGCTGTTTCCTGATTTATAAAACATACACATGTGCAGAAATGCATTAAAACAAAAGGAAGCATGCCTTTATCAAGAGGCTATTAAGATTAAACAGCAAATACAATATTTCATCTGGATATATTTTTATTATTATTAATGACACCTAAAAGGGCCTATTTGGATTTTGACTAGATGCTTATTTGTTTTTAGTATTTGTGTTTTGTTTTGTTTTGGTTTTGGTAGTGGAGTTTTTTGTTTGTTTAAGCATGGTTTAGTAATATTTTAGAGAGAAAGGAATACAGGAGGCACAAAAAGAAACATATATATGACAATGTAACATCGATTGGTTGCCCCCTGCCAGGGATCAAGCCTTGCATTCTCAATCTCAGTATTCCAGAACATTAAGTGACTATATAGATATTGGATATTTTGTTGTTCTTTATGAAATGATACTTGTGAACATTGGAGACATCAGTTTTTTTATAAAGGGGAATGCATAATATATAGTTAACTATATTCATTCTAAAAATATACATGGTTTGGCTGTTTCCTGATTTATAAAACATACACATGTGCAGAAATGCATTAAAACAAAAGGAAGCATGCCTTTATCAAGAGGCTATTAAGACTAAACAGCAAATACAATATTTCATCTGGATATATTTTTATTATTATTAATGACACCTAAAAGGGCCTATTTGGATTTTGACTAGATGCTTATTTGTTTTTAGTATTTTGTTTTGTTTTGTTTTGGTTTTGGTAGTGGAGTTTATTGTTTGTTTAAGCATAGTTTAGTAATATTTTAGAGAGAAAGGAATAGAGAATAGAGAAGGAGGCACAAAAAGAAACATATATATGACAATGTAACATCGATTGGTTGCCCCCTGCCAGGGATCAAGCCCAAAACCTGGGCATGTGCCCTGATGGGGAATCAAACCAGCAACCTTTGTGTGCACCAAACTCCCAATTGACTGAGCCACAACATCCAAGACCTGGTTGTTTGTTTTAACTGGGAGAAGCTCTCCTCTGAGTGAACAGTTACTACAGAATATCTTATTCTCTTATTTTCCTGTTGCATGACAGACTTAAATATTTTTAGAGCAGTGGAGGTGTTGTCATAGTCCAGTGTTCTAGAATAGACAACATCTAATGTTTGCTATTACCAGAAACTTTTAGTTTTTTAAATAGTCTTAATATTTTTATGGAAAGACCATTCAATTTTGCTATGAATAAATTTTTGTAACCTAGCAGAGAATCAATATTCTCTGTTAGTGCCAAAGGCTTCCTGTAGTTCTATTCAATTGTTACAATAAATATTTGTAGATAAGTGCTTTAAAAAAAAAAAAAAGCACTGCTAAAACTTCTCACTTAAAAGTCATTTTGCATTTCAGAACTGTTCTTTTCTCAGTAAGCATCCCACAGAGCTTAAATAGCATTAGCCAGGTTACCTTTTTCAAAGTCAACTCATGGTATATTTGAGTAATATAAAAGTTTTAGACCGGCTCTGTACTGTTTTTCATGTGTGGATGGTTTCATATCACTGCTCACAAGAATATCCTTAAGACCAATGGATAAAATTTGTTGTTTTGGCTTTGTTAAACAGTCAAATTTGTGTGTGTTTTTTTGTTGTTGTTTTTTTAGTGTGTTATAAAACAAAAATGCAGAAAAAATTACCTACATATGTTTTCTTTAGAAGGAATGAAAATACTGCTTAAAATAAATCATATAGCAGTCTAGTGCAGATAAGAATTAAAATTTTAGAAACCTATAACACAAGATTGGGAATAAGTGCCAAAAATTACAAAAAAATCTAAAATTTGGAGATTCTGCTTTTAAATTTCAAACAAAATTTTCTGTTAAGGTACTGCACAGTATTGTTTCCTTTCTTCAGCAGTAAGGTAACCAAAAAAAAAGTTTTGTCTAAAGTTGATTTGCAAAAGTTAATAAAAAGTGTTCCATAAATATGTGTTCCTTTAGTATTCTTCATTTGAGATTTCTTCTACCAAAAAGAGTGTCACAGTTATCTGTTATACCTATAACCCTTAAAGATAATCTACTGTTTAGAAGGACTATTTTTCTGTTTAGTGAAAATTTTACCTTTTTGTTTTTATTTTTAGAAAATAAATTTATACCCAAACAAAATTATATTTAGGATGATATCATAAAATATATAAGGTTTGAGGCAAAGTTTGGCAAGTTCTGAACATTCAGAAAGTAATAACACTGGGTCTAGTGAAGCTAATATAAAATGTAGAAGATTAGTTTTAAAACTGGTGAAAATTGTGAATTTTGTGCCACTTTTGAATAAATTACCTCATAAGACTTTAAAACACATATAATGCCAACTAAATAGTTTCCTTTAGGATTCTTCTTTAATTATTTAGATGCAAATTGGTACTACTTAAAATTGAGTTTTTGTTTTTTATTAATGTGACAAAAAATCTTAAATATAAAAAAGAATGACCATTTAAAGAGAAAGGTGCTTATTTTTCTTGAACAGTTTATACAGCTTTCAATCCTGGTTATGCATTTACTTTACTTAGATTCAGGGTGAGGGGTCAAATTCAGTTGAGCTTAGGTCATATTCTCACAAGATCGCTTTGCTCAATCAGTATTCACTAAGTACTTATTATGTTCAAGGCATGGGACTAAGGCTAGAAGAGCATAAAAGTGAACAAATCAAACATTGCCCCTGCCATCAAGGACTTCACAGTCTAGTGCAGATAAGAATTACATTTTTAGAAACCTATAACATAAGATGGGGAATAAGTGCCAAAAAATTACAGAAAATGTAGAGTTGCAAATAGATATAAACCAAATTGTTTTTCCACAACTGGTATGTTCTTTTGCCAAGGGAGGTTCATAGGTATCCTTTCCCACAACCTTACTGCAGAGTGGTATGCTACAATACAAGCAAAATGTAGTCTGCATTTTACCACATACACATTTTTAGCAGTAAATTCTCCGGTTATTCAGCCTACCTTTAAGCTATGCTATTTCTTTGTACATTTCACAAGCATCTTACAGGAGAGGTTCATTCACATCAGATGCTTTAAACCAGATGTGGCAAAATCTAGTGTAGAACTCAGCTATGCTTTTAGTAGTATTAGGCAGTAGAATCCCATGCAAATGCAATAGAATTCTCAGTGGAGTGAGCCACTGCAAAAAAATGTAAATTACCGTTCCTACTTTTTTCTTTTATCCTATTTATGCAAGGCAGCCGGGCCTGTAAATTATTTCCAGGCAATTCATGTAGTTGGAATGTTATTTATTTCCAGTTTTAAACTCATGTATAAAATTTGTTGTGCTGATTAGTACACACTCTATTACAGATCTGACATGAAACATGTTGAAGGATTGTAGATGGGCACTGGAGTGTGAGCTTCTGATCTTA